TTCATCAACAATGCCTTGTGGAGGTTCCGAACTTACTTTATCAAAAGTAACTATTTGAATCGGTTACGGAATTGTTACCGATTCTTCCTCCAAGACAAAGTTCCCGATTTTATTCTTCCCCCCAAACTCAATATCCTCAAAGAACGTAGCAGTTCCAGTCTCAAAAATTGTCTTTAATGTGGGATCATAAAATTTATATCCCCTGGATCTTTCGAGCATAACCAATAAAATAACTACTTACCGTTCGGGAGTCCAATTTCTTTTCATTTGGCTTATAAGGCCTTGCCTCAGCTGGACAATCCCACACATGGAAATGCTTCGGACTAGGTCGTCGCCTGAGTCCAAAGCTCATAAGATGTTTTGGTAGTTGCTTTAGTTGGTACTCTGTTTAGAATATAAGCTGTCATATTTAGTGTCTCTCCCCAAAGTGATTCTAGTAAGATGGAATGACAAATCATACTCTCTACCATATCTTTAAGAGTGTAACACAAGCCCAAACGTCACAATTTGATGTTACCTGAGCACTTGTGCCATAATACACTTGAGTGAGTATTTTCAATTTTACGTTTAGTACCACATGATTCTGTATTAAGGGTTTCATTATAGGTGGCCACAATATCAAGTAAATACTGATTATCATAAATCAAAAGTGAACCAGTTCCAACAATATCTGAATTAAAAGACAAACTGAACTTATTGTTTCCAAATGAACACAAATAACCTAATTTGTCCAAATAAGAAACTGAAACCAAATTTCGCCTAAATGACAGCACAATAAAAAAATCCAAATAAAAAATCAGTACTCAATAACAATTTAAAATGCCTTATAGCTTCCACCTCTACCGATTTGTCATCTCTAACATAAATCCATCTTTCATAATCAATTGGCTTCCGGTAGTTTAGGCAACCCTTTCTTTTCACGCCAAGCATGATATTTAGCACATTTCTTCTTTATGTGTCTAGTCTTATTGCAAAAGAAACATTTGTTTTCTTGAGTTTGTTTCTTTTGTTCTAGACCCTTAGCAGCTTCTTTCTCGAGATCCTCTGATCTCTTTCTTTTGCCCTTAGCCTTGGAGGTGCTTGCAAAATGAGCACTTTCTGTCTTGTCTTGCTTTAGTCTTTCCTCTTCTTGTACACAATGTGAAATGAACTCATTAAGAGACCATTTATCCTTCTGACAGTTGTAAGATACCTTAAATTGATTAAACGTTGCAGGAAGAGAAATCAACACCAAATGAATGAGCAAGTCTTCCGAGAGTTCAAGCTTTAGTGTCTTGAGTTTAAAAACAATATTAGACATGCTCATAATGTACTTCCCGATATTTCCTTTGCCTTGATATTTCATGGAGATCAAGTTCGAAGAAGAGTGCTTGTCTCCGCCTTATCGCTTTTTGCAAAGCGCTACTCAATTTCGACAAGAAATTCTTTGGCACTTGTGATGTTTTCGGAAACGGTGCCCTAAACACCTCCGGGATGCCGCACTTAATGATCATTAGACTCATGCGATTTGAGCGATCCCACTTCTCATAATCTCTTTTACGTTCGGAGGTACTTGAATCCGTAGGAGTAGGGGTTACTCGGTCCTTAACGCAAGATCCATATCCATGCAACCAAGAATAATATCAATATTCTCTTTCCGAGTCCTTAAAATTTGTTCCATTGAGGACCGAAGCGAATTTAAATTGGCGAATACTGAAGCAATTGTAGCTGAATTTAGAACACGAGAAATAAAGTAATTATGCTCACATTATATAAAAAATAAATAATATATATTCAAATAGTGGTTTAACCCATCTCAAGACACCCAATGCACCATCAATATCAAGTCTTTGGACGAGTAATATTAACTGTTAGAGGTATCTTGTTGTAATAATCAAACATTGACAATAAAACACGTCTAACAACAAACCAGTCTTTGGATTGATTTATCATTGACAAAGCAAATCCTTATAATTATCACATGTTTATCATTACAAGTGTGTATGCAATTCGACCAAATATTAATCTTCCTTTGGACCGACTAATACTCGCATGAATATACACAAACACTCGACATTCAATATTTTTCATGAACTGCCCAATTCAAGAGACGTTACTTTGGTGACTTCTTGACTCAATTTGCTCACAAAAAAATATTAAACTACCAAAAATTGAATATTTTATTTATATAACAAAACCAAATATTTAATATTTGCAAACTAATTCAAAAGAGAATCAGCTCATTAGAATTCTACTAAGGATGAACACCTCCCTAAAATCTTATTAGGGATGAACACCTCATTTGAATAAATCAAAGGATGAAAAAAGGCCTCATCTTCCACCAATACATAAAGGATGAACATCTCCCTAAAATTACACTAGGGATGAAACAGATATAGTTCTGAGTCTCTTTAGCATACTGCTCTAAACCCTAAAAGGGAATTAAACAATAATCACTCAAACCCTATTTTAACATCAAATTTTCCTTAAATTCCTAGGGGATAGAGGCAATAAAATAATAACAACTGTCGCCGCCGTAAAAAAAGAGGCGGTCGGAGCGACGCGATGGTTTCGACCCTCTTGATTTTCGCGTTTTTTATTGGTGGTTACAACGCCTTTAGGTTGTCCGATAACCGGGCTGAACCTAGGGGCGAGGTTTTCGAAAAGGCACTCTTGGATTGTCCGATAACTGGGCTAATCCAAAAGCTAGTTTTGAAAGGTTCTATGGAGTCGCCACTAATGTTTTTACCGGAAACATCGGAAAAGGGATTAAAAGGCGTTGGTTTTCGAAAAACCAATTTTGGTCATTAGAACCAGAGTTGGGTAAGGGAGTTAGTTACGTGTAAATGAAGTATTAGTTCCTTTACGACGCCCCTTTCAGGTTCCCTATGATAGGCCAACTTTATGTAAATGATTAAACCAGAAAAATACGCTTTTACCCTTTTATTCTGCGGAATTTAAAATTACGACTACATGGTCCTAGTATCTATTGCATAATTTAAAATTAAAGCGATAAAGGTAGAGAGGGAGAATATGAACCTCCGAAGCACGCTTTTGTATTAATTCTTTTAAAAAGAGGGTGCTTTGTGGCAGCCCTTCACTCTACAGCACCGGAAAACCTTTTAGAACGCTCGAAAAACACTCTAAAGACACTCAGAAGCTCCAGAAATGCGTCGGAGGGGTTCTAGAGAGAGAAACTAGTGATTTTCTAGAGAGAAGGAGGAGAAAGCTCTGTGTGGTGTGTGAAAATGAGGGGAGGGAGCCCCCTATTTATAGTTTTTCGCGCCTGACAGGTCGAGACCACCGTCTCGTCTGACAGGGTCGAGACCACCATCTCGTCAAACGAGACCGCCGTCTCGCCATGCCAAAATGGCGAGACCGCCGTCTCGCCCTTCGCAGGTGGCGAGACCGCCGTCCCGGGAAGCGAGATCGCCGTCTCGCCATTTGCAAGTGGCGAGACGGCGGTCTCGTGCCGAAAATCCCTCCTATCCTAGTATGGGGCCTAATGTCTCTCCTAGTGACTTGTTAGGCTTCGTCCATCTTCGAATAGGAGGTCTTCTACTCTTTATTTGGAGGTCGGGCAAGATTTGGGATCTACAACAGCCACACATGTGGAAACATTCACTAGTTGCCTAAGATCCTCTATGTTGGGAATTCCCCAAACACCACCCCTAATTCCAAACTCATAAAATTAAATAAAAACAAAAGATTCAAAAAAGAACAGAGAACTCAATACAAGAAAGATTGAAATTTGAAACACTATTTCTTTCTCAGTAAAACTTGAAACTTAAACTGAAACAAAAGGGAAAAACAAAGAAGAAGAAGAATCCATAACTTCCTCCACGGTTCCATCAGCAAGCAGAATCAGATTGGGGATGTTACCCCCAAATTTAAATTTTAGGGTTCACGAAAAGTAGAGATTATTCTCCACTTAGAGTTCATAAAATTGGGTAATTTGAATTATTTAAAACAAAATTAATCCTAATTTTCATAATTAGAGTTCTATAAATTAAACAGACATGAATCAAATATGGGCGACTCGATACCAATTGTTGGAAAAACAACAATAATAATAATAATAATAATAATCCTGATTTTAATTCTAACGATCAAACATAAACATAATCCCATACCTGATAAACATGTCATGAACTGAATGCGAAAGCGTACTCGAATTAGTCATAACGATGATGTCTTTGTAGAGCACTATATTGATCTTATGGTCTTCCACCTGAAGAACACATGTATTTCCCTCTTGATTTTCTCTCTTGATGGGGATAGAAAGAAAGGAACGGGACTGATACTTACGTTCTGTGTGTGCTCCCAGAAGGGGACCACAACCCCTTAAAATAACCAGAATTAGGTTAATTACTTAAGTTTTAGTATTTCCAATTTGGCCACTCGTCAAATTAGAAATCGCTTCTATGGTCTCTACACAATTTTATTTTCATGACATATGCCTTTAGCTAAAACTTTAATTTAGTTAGATCACTTTATTATTTGGCTTAATAAATAACGACTCTAACACATTTAAATTATATATCATATATATACATGACCCAAATTTTACCAACAAATATATCATCTAACAAAAAAGGTTACTGAGTAAACAATAATCTCATTTACGAAAAATATTAATAATAAAGTTTACATAGAAAAAATAATAAATATTAAACTAAAAAATTCATTATCATATTAAGAGTGGAATAAAATTACAATTTTAGAAAACTAAAAAACCGAATTTGTATTTAAAATTTCATATCACACAAACACATTCATAGAATTACATACATATTCAGTATATTTGAATTAAGCTGACATTTTTATATTTTTATAATACTAAAACGAACATACAGTAGAAAAAATAAACAGTTCCGAAATTTATTGGAAACAGAAAATAACAGAAATGGAATCATATAAATCCATATCCTTCTCTCAGCTTGGTTTTCTCCGTCCCCACTCACCCTCACAGCCTCTCAGTCTTTCCACTTGAATCGGTGAGTCAGTGAACGAGTCAAGCCATGTCGGACGAGGAACACCACTTCGAATCCAAGGCCGATGCCGGAGCCTCCAAGACCTATCCCCAGCAAGCCGGCACCATTCGTAAAAACGGCTACATCGTCATCAAGGGTCGTCCCTGCAAGGTAGTACTAGGTTTTCATGTCGATTTTAGGTTCTCGTGTCTTTGTTTCGTTCTTTCTCTTCGTTAATTTTGTTTGAAATAATTACACTTTTTTTTATATGATTGTGGTTTTGGTTTCACGATTTAGGTTTCGAGATCTATTGTTTGATATGTGACTAGTTGTTTCTGCCGTGGATTTTGACTATTGGATTAGGGTTTGTGAACTCTTATGACTCATTTGGTGGAGGGTTTTAGGGAAACAAAATTAGGCTTTTGAAAGAAATAATTTCGTTTATGTGCTATTTAGGTCGCCTGTTCTGATTTAAGGAACCAGTTGTGTTATGTGTTGTTGTGTTTTGGACATTAATTTTGAATTAATGGTATTTTTATTTAATTGTTTATTTATTTATTTTAGGTTTTTATTGATTGTGATTGATGCGTGTGAATTGGTTTTTCTGTGGCAGGTGGTTGAAGTTTCTACTTCCAAGACTGGTAAGCACGGTCATGCTAAGTGTCACTTTGTTGGGATTGATATTTTCACTGCCAAGAAGCTTGAAGATATTGTGCCCTCTTCCCACAACTGTGATGTATGTTCCTGTTCTTGTTTTCCAGTGACGTTATTTCTTTCTTTGATGGCACATGATTGGAACTTTTTCTGTTCTGATTTTTTTTTTTGGTTTCTTATTCCAGGTTCCCCATGTGAATCGTACTGATTACCAGTTGATTGATATTTCTGAGGATGGATTTGTGAGTTTCTATTTCTGTTGAGACTTCCTTTGATTCATCACTGACTAAGATGTTTGGTTTTGTGTATTTTTCTGTTTCTGTTTTCACAGATTATGAGAAAACGTCCCCTTGTTTTCAAAATGTAATTTTTTAATATACTTAAACAACAACAAAGTTTTGTTCTATTTGGTAAAGTTAGTTCTCGTGTCTAAAGGCGAATTTAATTTTGATACAATAACTGGAAGAAGACTTTTATGTTGTCAACTAGTTCGGTGAATAGTCTAAGCTTGATACACTGTTAGTGTAAAGACAGTACACTGTCAACCAACTACAAATCTTCCTTGACTTGACTTTTAAAGTCAAAAATTTTCAATTATATAGCTATCTATGATCGAATAATAGTCACTCTCAGTGTATTCATTCTAATTAAAGTCTTTGAAGATTTGTATTCATTACCATTAATTTCTTTGAAGATGTGTTTTAGAAATGAAAACTGAACAAAATGTTGGTTTCCCGGAATCTCTTATACAATCTTTGCCATGGATGTAATCACATGTAAACGTTGACAATGAAGATTAAATAATCTTCTCTCCAACTACAATGCTCTAATCTTGCCACGGTTATCTGAATTTATACTTGAATGATGCTATAGGTTAGCTTGCTTACTGAAAATGGGAACACCAAGGATGACCTGAGGCTTCCTACCGATGACAGTCTGCTTACTCAGGTTTGTAGAAACCTACTGTTTTGTTTGTTGCGTTTGCTGTCTGCAATGTTATACCTTGAATACATTTACCCTGAATGGATAAATGTATCCACCAATACATATAAGAGAAAAAAGTAAGATGATAAAGTGAATCAAACTTCTCTTGTAAATTGAAATCAATTTGTGGACAACTTCTATAGAAGCTTTCTTATCTAGGTTTTCCAAAAATAAGGTGCATAAGTTTATTTTAATTTATAAGAGGTTGATTCATTTTATTTTATGTTTTTCTACATGTTTTTGTGAAGAAGTTTGTTCAGATATTATCTATACCAAAATTCCTTGTAATTCCAGTGTTCTATTCACTTGTATGATTGTTTTTATTCCTCTAATTGTGTTTAATGATGTATCATTGGCCGATGCAGATAAAGGATGGATTTGCTGAGGGTAAGGACCTTGTTGTTTCAGTTATGTCTGCAATGGGTGAGGAGCAGATCAATGCCCTGAAGGATATTGGCCCAAAGAACTAGCATCAAATGCCCGTAGTTTGTTTTCATTTAAGCGCAAGTTATATATTTTTGTATGATCCTGTTAAATTTGAGTTATGGACTCTAATCAGACTAGTATTACCAACCGTATTTATTGATGTGACAGAAGCTGTTTTAACATTTTTCTGTTTCTATTCGTGTTGAGATTTTTAGATAAAATACGAGGGGAAATTATCTTTGTTTTGACTTATTTTGCATTTTTAACTGTGGATAATTTTGTGCGTGCGACAGTTACAACAAAATCAATGATGCTACCACTTTGTCTTTATGAAAAAGATTTTCGATTTGTTTGTTTTCAATGATAAATTGTTTGAGATGGAAGAGCAAGTAGCTTCTTCTTTTTTTGTTTCATGGGGGAGAGACGAGAGAGAAAATCCATCATGTAATTTATACACATATTTTGCTAGAAAATTGATTCTGTTGAGAATTGATTCATTCTTATTAAAGGGGTAATTTGGTTATTTTTTAATTTTTTTATTAAAATATTTTTTATTATTTAATAAAATGATTCACAATCTTCTCATTGTTTTTTACATTTTCTGTCATATTTCCTAAATTCAAAACTCTCTTTTCTTTCAAATTCATCACCTTTTATTCTTTCAAATCCATTATTTAATCGAAACAAAGTCTTATACATCTTTTCTAATTATAAATATTTGTGACAACAAGATTTGATATGTATTGGTCAACAAATTGGAATTGAAATTCATTTATTAACAGATTTTTTTCTTCCATTTGAACTAATTTGTGTCTCATGAAAGTTTTTGAACTAATAATATGAAGTTATTAATATTTCTTGTGAAAAAGATTTTTATACTATGGAGTTACAAATATTCTAGAGTATTTATAAACATCTTAACCTAAAATTATATCCAATTTTGTTTAAAGTTCTTTTTAATATAAAAATAAATATAATGGTTGGTCTGATGTTGTTTAAATTATATTATTTTATTTTTGGTTAGAAGTTTCACATTGATTGTCTTGTGTTATTTAATATGATTTAAATACATGTTAAGCTACTCCACATATTGTTAATTGGTTTTACGGTGAAACTTTAACATGTTGAGATATGATATTTTTCTATCTTTACTTAGACTAGGGTTAGGGTTTAGGCTGAGACTCATATTCTCTATTGTATCTTTTTTATCTATAAATACAATGTAACATTACCTTTTGACATTGTATTGGAAACCTTGAATAAATTTTTCTAGTTAGTATCATAGCAAAATCCTTCCAAAAATGTTGTGGGTTGTAGGTGAGTCTATGCAGTTAAAGTTGATAATAATAGTAAAGTGGATCGTCTTAAAACTCGTTTAGTAGCTAAAGGCTATACTCAAATTTATGGTCTTGACTATTGTGATACCTTCTCTCCAGTAGCCCAATGGACCCTAATCAGAAATTGATGGGAGATAAAGGAGAAAAGTTGTCAAATCCAAAAAGATACAGGATGGTGGTTGGTAAATTCATTTATCTTACTGTTACACAACTTGATCTTTCTTATGTAATTGAAGTAATTAGCCAATTTATGCAAAATCCTTGTACTGATCATTGGGACGCCTTGATTCGCATTCTGAGATATATTAAAGGAACCCCAGGGTAAGGATCCTTATATGAAGATAAGTGTAATACTCAAATTCTAGGTTATTATGATGTAGATTGGGCTGGTTGTCCCATTGATAGAAGATCTACTACTGATATTGTATCTTTATTAGAGGGAATTTGATTTCTTGTAAAAGTAAAAAGCAAAGTGTCATTGCTCGATCTAGTGCAGAAGGTGAGTATAGATCTATGACACTTGCTACATGTGAACTTGTGTGGATCAAACAAATCCTTCAAGAATTAAAATTTTGTGATAATGGACAGATGAAGTTGTTTTGTGATAATCAGGCAGTACTCCATATTGCCTCCAACTCAGTCTTTCATGAAAGAACAAAACATATCGTAATTGATTGTCACTTTGTTAGAGAAAAGTTAATGTCTAAAGAACTTGTAACTGAATTTGTAAACTTCAATGAGTAATTGACGAACATTTTAACTAAATGTTTGAGAGGTCCTAAGATTCAATTTATTTGTTTCAAGCTTGGTGCATACAATCTATATGCTTCAACTTGAGAGAGAGTGTTGAGATATGATATTTTGTTGTCTTTCATTAGACTAGGGTTAAAGGTTTTGATTGAGGTCTATATTCTCTCTATTATATATTTTTTATCTATAAATACCGTATAATAGTGCCTTTTGATTCTGTATTAAAAATCCTAAATAAGATTTTGAAGTGTTTTCTAATAATAAATGGACAAAGCTAAAGGAACTAGTAGAATCTATCGGGGGATATACTTAACTTTTTCTTTTTTAAGTTGGAGTAGATTCAAACAAAATGATGGGGTAAACAATTGCCAATAAAATTGATTTAAGTTGTTTGTTGAAATTATTGTTGTTTAGATATGAAATTCATTATTCTATTTCACCAAAATTAGCTATATGCGAGATGAGAAAATTGAAGAAGAGGCCATACAAAGAATAAAACATACATGAAGAAAATGATGACGGATGATATGATAAAAAATTTAAAATCACAAATTTCAAAAGATCATCCTTATGGAATAAAAAATAACAGCTATGATAATTCATAACATAATAAAACAGCACAAGATCATCCTTGAGACGCATAATTGGGAACACCTTAAACATACATGAACAAAAAATGAATAAGAGCTAACCACCATAAAATCAAAACCCCTAAAATCACAAACATAAAAAGATCACTCTTACATGTTTCATTGACGATGACGAACAATAGTAACAAAAAATAACTCACTACGGGGCAAATAACAAGCACCTGCGTGGAAGCTTAATTCCTTAAACATGTGTTTGCTTCTATTAATTTACCATTTAAATTCGACATAATAACAAGCAGAGATCATGTTTATTTTAAATGATACACAAGAACTTGAAGACACAAATGGGAGGAAAGGATGAGATTAAAGCTCTTTTATCAATTTTACTAGTTGGATTACATATGCATGCAAGATTCCATTCGAAACAATGATTCCTAGTTATGCACAGTAAAAATTCCATACTTGGCGGTGGTTGGTTAGTGCAGAAGCTGGTTGTTTTTAAACTGTGCCTTGGTGAAGTAAGCAGAAGGGTAAACAATTCTATATTTACCTCTTTTTCTCTTTAAATGCTCATTTTCACTTTAGCAAATCCATCACTAAACTCAAACACAAGTTTAACGTGATAATGAGCAAATCATGGAGTAGAACCTACATAATGTAATGTATGATGAGTTACAAATTCGTTTGTCAATAACATACCTCTTCATGTCGTCAAACTCTACCAAAACATCAAAGGAATGGTGAAAATAATCTTAAGGTGAGGAGGAGTCATAAAAAAATCACGATTCAAAATAAGAGGATATAATGAAATCCTATATATGTTGAATAAATATATGATAACATTGACTATAATTATTATTTCATAGTTTTTTTAATATAGTATTAAAACTAATTATAATAATGTTAAAACATTAAAAATCTTTCACATAACAAAAAAATACGATAAGGTGTCACATGAACTTAAAAATACAAAAATATTATAATATATAAATAATTGTATTAAGTGAAAGAATCTTTATTATGAATATAGTTTCCATATTTGAGCTTTTGGAGAGGATCTTATTTCCTAATCACGGTTCTCACATTATATACGTGGGACAAGGCCTTTTATGTACATCAATTTTAATTTTAACATGTAAACACATAATTTTTAAAATATCAATTATATAAGTAAGAATTTGCTATGTATGCAAATTTTGATTTAAATATAATAAAATATTAAAAAAAAAAAAAAACAAAACCTTTTTGTTTAAATATTAAAGTTGACCTTTTAAAGTCTCTTCTTTTTATGCACAGTGTGAGGAACATGCAGTCATCTCTCTGCGTCCTTCCTAATCATATAATTAAGAATTCAAGCAATAGTGACCGTTGCTCACTACAGTGTTAAATTAATTGCATATAATTAACTATCCTTTTCATTTCATTTTATCTATGCTATAATTGTTTTTTACACATATTATATCCTTGTATTTTTCTATTTTATTCTTTATAATTGTGATACAATTAAATAGATGATTATTGCATCTACTAATATTTTTCACTATTATTATTTATTTTTTAATAATTTATTAATTTAAAAACAATAATTTATCTTAATTATAATTCAATATTAAACATTTATTAAATTTATTCTTAAAATAATAAATCTATTATTAAATTAATTTATAATTTATAATATATATAATAAAATAATTTTTTTTATTTTATTAAAAATAATAATTATTTTATAAAATAGATTAACCCATAAATTTATTAATTAATTTAAGTTAAATTGATGTAAATCATAACTTAAATAAATTATATTAAAATTCGTCATATTTAATTTAATTCACAATTTTTTTTAATTTAATATATTTCTAAAAAATTTGAATCACTTTATCATACTAAATTTATTTTCACATAATAATATTAAAATAAATTTGTATTTTTTATAGAAAAAAGTAAATAATAATTAATTTAAAAAGCTAGAAATTTTAGGGAGTAGTGTGGAGAATAAGGACGGTTCTCTTGAATTGAATTTGACTACAGTATTGTATTCATGTGCCACTCTTGATTCCAAGAAATTAATGCTTCAACAGTGTTTCTATTATATACAAGCTGGTAGGTAGAACTTGACAAAAATTAAATACTTAAATTAGGGTTCTAAATTTTTAATTATATTTGACTTTACCATGCATTCTAATTAATATAATACAAATAATTTTAGAAGAAGATACATGTTTATGAGTCAAACAATGATGCTATTATACTTATAAACACCTAGTCAGATTCTCTGAATAATGACAACTGCTACGTAGCTGATACTGAAAATTGAATTAATAAATAATAAATAAATATGACAGGATAAAAAAATAAAAAAATATGAAGATAAAATTATAAATATAAATAAATATATTTAATGATAATTAAATTTTGAGAATCAAAATTATAAATATATATAAAAGTTTAAAATTTTTTATCTAAGAATATGAATTATTTTCATAATATTCAATGTATATATAATTTATCTTAATAATCTAAACTAGTTTTTATCTTTATTTAATTTTCAATTTTTATTAGTTTTCAACATGCTATATCCTAAACACACATAAATTGTTTATTGCTTCATGTCACACAGTATTATTAATTTAATTTTTGCGAGATAAAATTTATGTGAATGACAAATATTATTAGTAAGGAATTCATGATAGGAAGAAGTTTTAAAACACAGGAGACATTATTGGGATGTTTTATGGGAAGATGGTGAATATTATCACAATTTCTTTGAGAAATAGAAACAGAAAAATAGCATTCTTGAATCTACGTTATAATTCAAATTTGAACATGGCGATACCAAAAGTTTCTTCATTATACTTGTTTATTAATCATGATTAAAAAAACTGAAACAAGACATATATTACACAACATGGTTGAGTCAAAATATTACAACAAAAAGTGTTGTGGAAGTGTGAATAAATGTGCTGTGAAGTTGCTGCAGAGTATAATGGTGAATGTCTGAGACAACTAAATCATTCAAATAAAGTAAATCCTGAGATTGATGCCACTTGTGTGTTGAATGAGGTTGCTTCACAAGATTGGATTGTGACATCTTCTCTCACCCAACTTTGACCTACCACACCCACTTCCTTTTGTTCTTCATTTTACTACTATCTGCATTTTTTTTTCTATTATTGATTCTTGCTTTAGTTTATATTTTTTGCTATTATTGTTTCTTGCTTTAGTTTACATTTTGGTTTTGAAGAAGAGAGAATTTAAATGTTTTTTTTTATAAGTTCATGTCAATTGTAATCTTGCCGGACATTGAAAGTAAAACTACGCTAGAAAGAAGTCGGACGTTATTTGAAGAAGAGAGAATTTAAATGTTTTTTGTCCGTTTGTTATTTTTATCTTTTTATGTAAAAAAAAAATTTAACGTTAATACAAAAGAGGTAAATTTATATCATATTTAGGATAATCAAGATAAATTTACGTCGGATCTTAGAGATAACTGACCTAAAATTACATCAGACCCTAGGAATAATTGACGAAAATTTACGTCGAATCCTGGAGGTAGTTGACATAAATTTATGTCAAACCCTGGAGGTAACCAACATAAATTTAAGTTGGGTATACCTCTGGTTCGACATAAATTTTGTTTTTTATTTTTATTTTTTTGCAACAAGTCCAGATATCATACATACAATACGGAACATACAAATAATATAAACATACCGTATAAAACAAACAATAACATACAATATAAAAATAATACAAAATAAACTAGAAATATTGAACGAAAAACATTATTCTTTGTTCTGTAATCTGTGTAATATTATGTTTTGATAATGGAGATAAATGAATTTTGAAATATCTGAAACATTAATTTGACTCTAGTTAACATCCAATAGACACAAAAGTAAATGAACTTAACAAATGTTGAAAGTAATTACCTCTGGTTATACCCGCACAAACTTTTATGTATTACATGTGCTTAGGAACATATTTTGGGAAACCTGTTAGGACAAATCCCCTTTGCGAATTTGCCCCCTCTTCTCTGCCTTTTTCTCTTCATTTTGATATGTTGTGTATTCGAATCCGACATTCGAGTCAAAAGTTATCTTGTTTCAAACATTTTCTGTTTTCTTTTCATCATAAACCCTAATACACAAAACAACAACAACAACTTAAACCCCCAATATACAAATTACAACAACAATAAAAAGTAGGATTCAAACACATAGAACACTAACTACAACAGTTCAATATTCAAGTGGAAACATTCAATTTCAACACCACAAATGTAAAACTCGAATTTAATAAGAGAGAAATGTTCACCACCACAAATGAGACATAATGAAAGTATTTTCGTCACTCACTGTGGTCGAAATGTACTTTGAGAGGAGTTGACCATCGTCGTTATCGTTGTGGTCCTCAAAAATATTTGTTGTGGGAGACGAAAAAGTGGCGTTGAAAAGAATAAAATGCGACTTTTACGTCGGACCTAGAAGGGACTGACGTAAAAAGTGAGTTTTACGTCGATCTCTTCTAAGTCTGACGTAAATTTCACGTCCACTATTTACAAAATTGTCATCGTGCAACGTGCCTTTTACGTCAGACCACTATACATCGGATGTAAAAAACAACTTTTACATCGGTCTCTTTTAGATCCGATATAAAAGTCGAGTCCACTATTACAAAATTATCACAGTATTATTTTTAAGTTAATTATTTTTTGATATAACATTATGTAAAAAGTTCATTATGTACTAGTTAAAAAGTTCATTATTCAGTAGTGTTATTAAGTTACTATATTAATATCACTATCAATATAAAAAATTACCCAAAATGACTTCATTAACGTCTCTTTGATCTATTTTTATGTTGGTTGCGATTTTAATGACATAATAAATGTATTTTTAATGTTGACTAAGGTGTTTATTTACATAGAAAGTGTTTTTTTTTTAATAATAAGTTTGTTTTAGTTATTTTCCCTCCCTCTAACAAAATCAATATATTTTCGGGATATACTTATTCTTCTTTAATTAAATCATATTCTAGGGGATTAAATTATTCAATAACCAAAATATTATCATTCGATTCCAAAATAAAGTAAATAAACATACATTAGCTATGAATCTAAACCCAAAATTTAATGTTCATTCAACTCCAAAATTTACTATTTGCATGTATACCTAAATTAATCTAAAGAAATATGTAAAGTAAAGAAATCTATAAACTATCATAAATACTTAAAAAAATAATTAGTCCATAATATTTTTTATAATTTCATCTTTCAACGAGATGAATTACTGAATATAGTTTTTCTCACTATCTTAAACTGCATTGCATCTTAAATCTATAATTTATTGTGCTATTATTTACAAAACATTAAAATCTAGTATAAGTTGCTAAGTTTTCTCATAATTTGATTCACCCATTCTTGAACTTGTTATTAAATTCTAAAATAAGGCTTGGAGAAAGATTTTCTAAGACGGAGTAAGGGTGCTCACAAAATTGACAACGGTGAATAATTAAAAAAACGCTAATAAATAAGTGAAATTAGGAGTTTTTTTATGACTCAATTAGGATAAATTTTTAATCATTTAATCATTTGAACCAAATATAAAAATCAAATCAATATTAATATTTCGATTTAAATTATTTTTGTGATTTTTTATTCCTATAAAATTATTAAACATTTTATAATAAAAATTTCTCAAATAGAAACACAATACGTAATTTTATTATGATTATTGTTATATTTATAATTTTAATTATCTTTTTGTAAATAAATTACATAATTATATAATTAAAATTATAATATGTTGTTATCATATTAAAATATAATAAAATTATAAAATAACTTTTATGAAACATAATTACGCATGATAATTAATTTTAAACATATATATTATATTCAAATATAATAATCAGATTTGTTTGATTTGATCCTATTTATAAGTTTTAATCTAAAATCTAAATTAAATGCGCCGTTTAGAAAAGAATAGATCCAATAATAAATGTTAATAAAATTTCGGTTTTGATGGTATTAGGTTTTTTATTGATTTGGTTTTAAACATTCCTAGGCGAAGTGTCGCTTATTGGAGTATCAGTACGGTTCCTAAAATATGTTGTTTTTTCGGATTTTTCAAAAGTTAAGTAATTGTGTGGTACGTGTACATGTCACATATAATACCACTTATACACACCAACAAAATATTGTTGTAGAGGAAACCAACAGGGGGGATTTTTTACTCTCCAAATCAACTTTTGTAATTCTTGTATAATTTATGATTTTTATTTCTAAATTTAATGAACATTTAATATATTTATTTGTATATTTACAATTTTATCTTCTTAGTGCCTTTATAATTCTGATATAATTTATAATTTTATCTTTCTTAAATTTAATGATAATTTAATATATTTAAGTATATATTTACACTTTTATTTTTTTATCTTCTTATTTTATTTTATATTTATTTATTATTTATTAATAATATATTATTTTGATCATTTAATATATTTAAGTATATATTTATAATTTTATTTTTTCATTTTTTTATTTTATTTTATATTTATTTATTATTTATTAATAATATATTATTTTGTCTTTTCAACATCAATTAGGATGACACGCCACTAAAAAACAGGATGTGAATTTGAGGTGATTATGTGAGTTTGAATTTATAGATTTTATGAGATGGGAGGATGAAAAGGAGAGACCAACAAACATCCAATGTTTACTTCTGTGAGCTACAAAGCTTCATCTCAACATTTCAGTTTCACTTGGTGATTGATGAAAATAAAAATAAAAATTGACACTTAACGTGATATACTGTGAGCATATATAACCAATTAACTATTTGGTCCTTCCATTACCAACTACTCCATTATTTTTATATCATAAATTAACCCAAAAAGTTTAAAGTTGATAATAATATAATTGATTATGGTTAAAAAAATGTTAAAATAGGTTTAATTTTTTGTAAAAGACAAAAAAATATTAAATTAATTTTAAAAAAGTGGTGACTTAAATTAAATTTAATCCGATTTATATATACTCTGATTTGTATAAATTTAAATAAGGTAAATATTTATGAATATGTATATTTTATAAAATAATAATAATTTTTAAGTAAAAATAATAATATTATTATTTTATTAATATATATATATATATAATAAATTAATTTAATAAGATATTGATTTAGTCAATAATTAAATATAATAGCAAATAAATATTTATTTGTTCTAATCTAATAATTAAAATAAATAATTATTTTAAATCAATAAATCACTAAATAAATAAATGATGATAAAAAAGAATAATTCTTTTCATTCTTATTATCTTTTATTATAATCTATATAAATTGTTATATTTGAAATAAAAATAATTTTATTAATATATTTTTATTTTTTATTTAAATATTTAATTTAATTATTTTTACATACATAAGTTAATTTTTTTTAATCAGATTAAGATAAGATAAAATTAAAAATATAAGATAAATTGAACTCTCATACTTAGATTAAATTAGACTTGATTAAACTCATTAATTGTAATTATTTTTATCAGATAACTATTTATGTGCATAAATTGTGACATTTGAAATGGTACTTTTTATAGATTGAAAGCATGTGAGTCTCGAAAATCACATGGATAATGGGTTGGTACTTTTTTATATCTCTAATAAAAGAATACATGTATTGGTAGTTAAACTTTGTTGTGATTTTTATGCGTATAATTGCTTTTGAAGTTGATAAGGGAAATATTTTGACTAGCTCATGGGAGGCAACAATTATAGTTGATTATTATATTTGTTCATACTTTGTTGTGGTGCAAAAGGGATTTTATAATTAAGGATGACACATGTCACACAGACCCCACATGTTAAACCCATGAAAACAGCCCTTAATAACTTTATAATATTCCAACACTTATGGCCAATTAAGTATATACAACATTGTTAAGGGTGTGTACAGTGTAGGTTAAAGATATTTTATCTCACTCTTTTCTCGAAATCAAATCGCATCCATATTTTAAATTGATCTAACCCATAAGCTATCTAAAAATTGTAAATTATTTTTAAATAAAAATAAATTTTAATTAACTCAATATAAAATTAATAAAATCGAAAAAGTTGGTTACTTTTTTTTTCAAATTATTTTGGTAAAAAATAAATATTAATTTTTTTATAATAAGATGATTATAATAGTAATTTTTATTATTTTTCTTGTTTTGTAAAAATATTTTGTTAATAATAAATTTCTTATATTATTGTTTCTGGTGAAATTTTGATTAATTTCGATTCTTAAGAGGCTTTGATTCTAACAAAAACTCAACCACGTAGATTCTTTATACTTAGGCTAGCAACTGAATTTCAATCGAAATGCGTATGAGAATCGAAAATACCACTTGTATAGAAAATACTAAGATTAATAATCGAAAACACTATTTTTGGTATTTTGTATTTGAAGTACTCGAAATAAGGAAAACAATAAAGTGACAAATCGAAAAGCAGTACCGAATGTAAAATTGCGAAGGAATGAAAAATGCAGAAACCTCAACTTTGCATTAAGTGTAAATGACAAAGCATCGAAATTGCGGAGAAATAAATAACAAGAAATCGAAATTACATAAATGTAATTAACAGGAAATCGAGATTGCAGAAATGTAAATAGCAGAAAATCGGAATTACGTTAATATAAATGACAATGAACTTAAATGCAGAAACTTAACTTTCATTAAAGAGAAATGACAAGGAATCGAAATACAGAAACTTAAAGTTGCTAAACATAAACTGCATCAAAGTAAATTACCAGGGAAAATAAAGAAAACGGTAAAGGAAATCAATGAACATGGAAATCCAGATCACCAGAAACTTCATGATGTTCGTCGTTCTCCGGTAGACTTCTCACTAGTATTCCTGCCCTCTCTGCCAATTCCCCCCCCCCCCTTTTTCAGTCTTTGCTCTATTTATAGAGCATCTTTGAAGTAACCTCCCACTCTTGTGGCCGTTTCTTTAGTTTTACAGTTTTAGTTTTACAGTTTCTTTAGTTTTACAGTTTTAGAAACTGCACTCCACGTTCTTACGTATAATAGAACTACTCCTCCTTCGATCTCCGTCACGGTTTAGAAACTATTTCCCACGTTCCTTGCGTGTGTTAACTGCTCCCTTAATCTCGATTTCAAACATCGAGTATCTTAAATTTTGCTTTTGATTCCCTTTAATTTTGTACTATTCTAACGTCAACAATAGGCATCAAAATTTGTTTCTTCGATTCTCGATTTTGATTCTCGATGTCTTTTACCAATCGTATGGTCTTCGATCTTTCCTTCATTTTTTTTTTCGATCCCTTTATCGATTTCCCATTAACAGAATGCCCCCTTGGAAGAATATAAAAGTTTGTATTTATATTCTTTCAACATGATTCCCGCCTTTTGGAGGCCCATCAGAACTTAGGGTTTAGGGTTGCTGGGGTTTTAGGGTTTTTTCCACTTTATGTCACCTGTCATGTCAGTTCTGCCGCCTCACTGTACACGCCACATTAATTACCCTTCGTCGCTTCCAGTACCCTAGTGCTTCAAACGTTTGTTAGCCTTTTACTCTTGTTTTTTACCACGAACTTTACTCTTCCTCTGCATCTTCGTCTTCTTCCTTGCACCTCTGTCTTTTATCCTCTGTTTTCCTCTGCTCTATCAGCTAGTGAAATGACAACCTCATCCAGATCCTGACCTTTCGACCCCACCACTTCCTTCGGTGGCCACCAACCTATTGGAGATCAATAACTAGAAATTCGCTCCATTTCCTCTGATGGAGGAAGCTTCTCAGAAAATCGCTGAGACGCAGGTACTCATTCCCTATACTGCTGATAATATTAATTACGCTTTCGGAGGTCCTATCCTCTATTGTGGCGGATCATTTTCTTCTTCTCTCAGCCTTCCTTCAGAGAGTAAAGCTCTTGTCCATCAGCCTGAGGTTTGAATAGATTTTCTGCACATTGTATCCAAGGCATATCGAACGGGCCCACCTCACAAAAAACCCTCGTACATGAAATGGTTTGATCGAATTAAGGCTAAGTTTGGGGACCATTGGAGGGCTGTAGGAATTTTCGATTTTCTTCATTTGTCTCAGTGTGACCTGTCTTTCTTGGATATGTCCATGTTTTTATCTGCTGTTCATTTATGGAATAAAGACTTGCATGCTTTGGAACTGCCTTGTGGCCCTTTTTCGCCCACCCTTTTCGAAATTGCTGCTATTACCGGGCTAAAACCCATAGGAGAAAAATATTTTAAAGGTGCTTTTTCTTCGGACAATTCCTTAAGGTCCAAAATCGATTGGGAATCGAAAGCCTATGGGCATTTTATCGAGAAACATTTCATTGATGACTCAACAGTTGCTGTTTCTGATGAGGAGCACGTGACCTTCTTGGTATATTGGTTATGCACCCACTTCTTCTGCCCCCGATCCATCCAAATTACATCCCACCTTTATAACCTCGCCTATATTCTTCACACTGGCCAACCACAAATTAATTTAGCCAAGTTATTATTGGTCCATGTTTATACTGCTTTCGATGAGGTCGTCGATATTTTGAACGCCCCTAGGGCCTCGGGGAATTTTTCGGGTCCTATTTGGTTTATTCAATTATGGCTCACCTCGATTTTTGAAAGTACCCTCCCCCCAACCTTGCAAATCCCCCCAAGTCTGAATTTAGAGGGTGCTCGATTATCTTCTCGACATCCCCACCACAAATCCGATGAGACTAGTTACCGAAATTACTTGCAATTTTTGCTGACCCGCTTTCATTTTGATTCGAGTTTGGCCCCTTTTACTGTGTATCTTGGACAAATAAGTGACCAACTTCGAGGGCAAACATGGTTTAGATCGAAATTTGTTGCTCTTACTCCCGGACTACAATCAGAATTGATCGAAGTATGGAGTAATTATCTAGCTCAAGATGTCTTGGTATCGGGTTTCCAATCGAAGGACCTTCAACTCATTATTTATTACCCCCAGCTTTTCTCGCGGCAGTTTGGTCTGAGTCAAGCCTTACCTTTTTATCCTCTTGATACTTCCCCAAGGTCCAAGTTAAGTGAATCGACAATCGGA